GTATCTTTAGCATTGAATCTCTACAGATTTATATTTATAGCTTGTATGCTAAAAACTTGGGTATTAGTATATAGTTTTTTTAGGTATTAAATTCTGTCAGTTTGTTGTACTATGGTGGCGTGTGTATTTCTGTGATGCTGGAAGCTATGGCAACAGTTGTATGAAATACCAACAGTGTTACCCACGTTCCAGCAGAGCTTTCAGAATAAAACAGACTAGAAAGGAGAGGCTGACCATTTCTGAGAGGTTAGCCACTGAAAACCTTATGAATAGCTGAGCACTGTCTGATATTGTTGTTGTTAAGTGCTGTCAAGTTGGTTCTGACCCATAGGGACCCTGTTTAGGGTTTTAAAGGAGTGGCTGGTAAGCTTGAACTGCCGACCTTGGGGTTCAACCAACTTTGCAGTCTAGTGTAGTAACCCACAGTGCCATGCCAGGACTCCATTGTCTGATATGTTGTTGTTGTGAAGTGTCATTGAGTCAGTTCCAACCCATTAGCAATCCTGTATAGGGTTTCAAAGGAGCAGCTGGTGAGCTTGAACCGCTGATACTGCAGTTCAAATGGCTTTGCAGCCTGGCGTATTAATGCACAGCGCCACACCAGGACTCCATTGTCTGATGTGGTGGTGGTGGTATGCCAGGGAGTCAGTTCCTACTCAGAGACCATGCATAGGATTTCCAAGGCTGTAAATCTTTACGGGAGCAGAATGCCTCATCTTTCTCCTGCAGAACCGCTGGTAGTTTAGAACTGGCTGCTGCCCCTCAAATATTGAGTTCCTCACACTGGAAGGCACTCAGAAGTATGACTGGGGAAAAACTGCCTCCTCAAAGTAGAGTTGACATTAATGATGTGGGTGAAGCTAAGCTTTTAGGACCTTCATAAGCTGATAGGGCACAACTCAAAATGAGAAGCAGCAGCTGCAACATCCATTACCAGTGGAATGTGGAATGTACCAAGTATGAATCTAGGAAAATTGGAACGGAATGCACAAAGATAGATATCCTAAGAATTGCTGGTGGTGGTTGTGTGCCATGGAGTCGGTTCTGACTCATAGCGACCCTGTACAGGGTTTCCGAGGCTATAAATCTTTACGGAAGCAGAAAGCCTCATCTTTCTCCTATGAAACAGCTGATAGTTTCAAACTGCTGACCCTGAGGCTAGCAGGCTGACTTGTAACCAGAGATCCTGGGCATTAGTAAGCTGAAGTGGACAGGTACTAGCCATTTTGAAAAAGACGATCATATGGTTTACAATGCCCAGATAACAAATTAAAGAGGAATGGCATCACATAGTCAGAAAAGAACATTTTAAGATGTCACTTGAAGTACAGTGTGGTCTGTGGTACGATAATATCCGTACATCAACAATGCAGTGGTTCATACAGGATGAGCACTGTTCTATGAACCACAGTGTCGGTGGTTTGAGCCCACCAGTCACTACGTGGGAGAAAAATGAGGCTTTCTGCTCCTGCAAAGATTTACAGCCTCAGAAATCTTACTGTTAAGTACTGTTAAGTTGGTGCCAACTCACAGCAACTCAGTATAGGGTTTCCAAAGATCAGCTGGTGGGTTTGAACCACCAACCTTGCAATTAGCAGTTCAATGTGTATCCAAAAGTGCCATACAAAGAATCCTAAGAAACCATATGAGTCGGAACAACAACTCCATAAAGACCAGATAATACCACTATTACTCAAATTTATGAACAAACTACAAAAGTAGAAGAAACTGAAGAATTCTGATTTCTTCAGTCTGAAATAATAAAGCATACAAGCAAATATGCACTGATAATTACTGCTGATTGGAACGTGAAAGTTGTATCCTTTCAACACATTTATCCAATCTGTATGCTGAGTAAATAATTTGAAAAGCTGGATTATATAAGAACATGGTATCAGGATTGGAGGTAGATTCACTAACAACCTACAAAATGCATTTGACACAAGCTTGCTTGTTGAAAGAGGACTTGAAACATTTATTGATCATGATCAAAACTATAGCCTTCAATATGGTTGTACCTCAATGGAAAGGAAACAAAATCCTCACAACGGGTCCAATAAATAACATGATGATAAATGGATAAAAAGATTTAAGTTGTCACAGATGTAATTTTACTTGGATGAAGAACCAATGTGCATGGAAGCAGCAGTCATGAAATCCAATGGCATATTACAGTAGACAACCTACTTCAAAAGACTTCTTAAAAGTGTTAAAGAGCAAAGGTATCAGTAAGGTGTACCTGGCCCAAGCCATGGTATTTTCAATAGCCTCATATGCATGCAAAAGCTGGACAATGAACAAAGAAAACCGAAGAGCTGAAGTCTTTGAACAATGGTGTTGACAAAGTATACTGACTATACCAAGGACTGCCAGAAGAACGAACCAATGTTTTGGAAGTACGGTCATATTGCTCCTTAGAAGGGACAAATGGCTACGTTTCATCTCTATCTAGTACTTTGGGCATGTTGTCAGAAAGGATCAGTCCCTGGAGACAGACGAATGAAAAAAAGGAAGACCCCAAACAAGATGGATTAACATAACAATTGTGAGGATGGCACAGGACCAGGTAGTATTTCATTCTGTTGTACAAAGGCTCGCTATGAGTAGGAACCAATGGTACCTAGTAACAAAAACCATCATTAAATCTATGAGATACTGTTTGTGTTCTTATAAAACTAGAGATAATTTCAGGGTCAAATAAAATGTTTGTAAAGAACATGACTACAATGACTAGCACCAATGTTAGGCCTGCAACTCTCAAAAGCACAGACCATCACTTTAAATGATAATAAAACTTTCAGACAGTTAATGTAGGCAAATTTATTTCTACAGTAGAAGCATCTGTTTCAGTTATAAAAAAATAACACTATTTCAAAGTCAGGGTAACTCTGCAGAAGTCCATTTTTTTCCTTGTCTACCCCTATCCAAATACCACCTATGGTTTCAAGTCATTCTTAAAAAGGAACAAATACAGAATCAAGGTATTATCTATCCATGTAAGCAGTGTATTAAAGCTATATATCAGATATGAGAACACAAAGTGATCTAGTGCAGAAATTCTCAAACTTTAGTGTACATCAGAATCACCTCATGATTGGTTTAAAAAAATGCTGGGCCTTGCTTCAAGTTTGATTTAGTAAGTCTTGAGGTGGGACCTAAGAATTTTCTATTTCTAAGCACATTCCCAGGTGAAGCTGATGCTACTGTTGTGGGAATTACACTTTAAGGATAAGGACCACCAGTCTAGGAAAAAGGAGCCCTAGTGGCACTGTGGGTTAGGCACTGGACTGCTAACCTTAAAGTTGGCAATTCAAACGCACCAGCTGCTGTATGGGAGAAATATGAGGCTATCAGGTCCTCTAATGATTTACCGTCTCTGAAACCCTATGAATCAGAATATACTCCATAGCAACCCTATATTGACAGTAGGTCTGGATTTGGGATCTAGGGAAAATCTTTTTTCTTTTTTTGAAAGTGAATTTTGTGATTATCAAAGTTATAGAGATAAATGAAAGATTTCACCCAGATTTAGGATGTCGTTGCTATTATTAAATGCCACAGTTTGTCCGAATTCTTAGTGACTACGTATAGTTCCCAAGGAGTGGCTGGTGGGTTTGAACCACCGACCTTGTGTTTAGCAGTCCAGGGCTTACCCTACAGTACCTCACCAGGACTCCTGAGTATATGTATGAATTCTAAGGTGGTTCATCCACTACCTCCAGACCATCAAATCCTAACTTGATTGTAGAAAAAATACTGTTCAGAGAATTGCAGATAAATCAAACACATGGTTTCTCAGAGTAAGTAACAAAGGGACTGAATTTACAAGGTTTGCGAAAGCAAACTATACAATGTGATATGAGGTGACTTCTGTGGTCCTCACACTGAAGAATAATAGATTACCACTCTCAAGAACTGTTCTACAGAGCAGGTCAGACAGTGTATGTAAGTATTCTGGTCTATTGAAAACACACAACTATAACCATGATTTCATGATTATTATTATTTGAAGCAGAGGACTTTCTCTGCTCCCCTATCCCCCAAAGAGCTGCTATTATTCACTTTAAAGATTAATCACTCATTGGGTCAAGCTCCTGGTCTGCTGATACCACTTTTATGTTGGTACAATTTTTACCAGCATCACCCATTCACTTAACAAAAAAACTTAAGCACGTGGTTGAAATGATACTTTTCAATCAGAATAAGATAATGGAGTCAAAGAAAGGGTCTAAAGCTTTAAAACTATGTTTTGCTTATAAACTATTAATAGTAGACGAACTGTTTTTCAAAGAGACTCAATGTAGAGCAATCGCTGAGTTCCCAGTATTGTTTTCTAAATCTCAGAAGGCTATTTATAGATGGAAACGGGAATAAAATATTTATTATCTTCATTACTTCCTATGTTCAATATTCTACACAGTAATGATTCACTGTCAAAGTTTTTGGCCAGTTAAGTACCTACCCACATAAATATCTTAGGCTTTTTACACATTCTGAAACTAGAAAACAAAGCTTTAGAGATGCACAATCAGGGTAGGGCATAGTTTCTCAACCTCAGCACTATGCACATTTTGGATTAGGCAATTCTTCACTGTGGGGAGCTATCCTGTGCATTGTAGGATGTTTAGCAGCATTCCTGGCCTCTATCCGATGGTAGTAGCAGCTCCCCTTCCAACTTGGACACTATCTTCTGGGGAGCAAAATCACCCCTGGTTGAGAACCACTGGACTGGAGTTTTACACAGACGTAACTGTAAACTCTGGGTACACAGATTACACAAGACTATGTAATGTTCCTAAGTGAAAGAGTACAGTACAATAGCTTCTGCTATACAGTTTATGCCAGGGCACAGACAGTTTTCACATATTCTACTTAGGCATACATGACTCACATACAACCATCTCTTTCCTATTGAAAACACTGATATTCGGGGCTGGGGGAGAAAAAGAAAACAAAAATAACGAATCTTACAATCATCTTTATATTACTGGATCTAGAGAAAAACCTAAGATTCACAAACATTTGCTAAAATGGAGACCTGTACCCTTCACTGCAAGTGTCCCTCCTTCTGAATTCGAAGTCTCTCTTTCTCTACTTGTAAGCGTTCCTTTTCAATCTGCAGCTTCTCGGATTCAAACTTTAAAAACTGCAGTCTGTCTTTTTCCAGTTGCAAGCGTTCTCTCTCAAGTTTCAACTTCTCAGCTTCGATGTCCTGTGGCTGAAGAATGGACTTTTCTCCTGGGCCAAGTTCACTTTCCAAGGATGGTTTCTCTGAACTGACGATCTGCAGCCTCAGTTTCTCTCTTTCGATCTGCAGCCGCTCCTTCTGCAGCTGCAGTCGCTCATGCTCCAGGTCTAAGTGCCGCAGCCTCTCCTTCTCAATCTGCAGCCGCTCCTTCTCCACCTGCAGTCGCTCAGCCTCAATATCCAGCCGTCGCTTTTCCAATTCGAGTTTCTGTTTCTCGATGTTTACAAGAACATGGGGCTCGTCATAAGATCTGGAGGGTGTGGAGTTTAGGGTGAAAAACTCATCAATGTGAGGGAAATCGGGAAGTTCATTTTCCCTCCTGGAATCTGGTATGACTGATGACAGCATTTCTTCTTCCTCCTCAATCTCAAACTAGAAGAAAAGAAAAAGCCATTTTTAGTATTTACATCTACTTCATGGCTGTCAAGTTTTCTAAAAGTTCCTGAAGTTTTTGTATGATCCAAGCACGCAAAATCATTTACTTGAATTTTAGGAAATGATTTTCTCTCGTGTCACTGTTATTGTTGTTGTATCCTGCTGAGTCAGTTCTGACTCTCAGTGACCCTGTTCAGGGTTCCCAAGATTGTAACTACTCACAGGAGCAGAAAGTCTCATCATTCTCACGTGGAGTGGCTGATGGATTCAAACCGCTGACCCTGCAGTTAACAGCCCAATGTGTAACCCACTATGTCACCACAGCTCCATGTCACTAATACATACAATCAAGATAAGTACATTTAGGTGAGGGAAAAGGGATTAATGATGTATAAAAAGAAAAAAATGGAATGACCTCATTCTGTCCTATCTTTAAGTTTACTTGAAATTTTGGGGGATTTCTTTTACTGTTTGTTCATGAACAATATATAGCTCCCATGTCAGAACTGAGGGCCTGGTGTGGCACTGTGGGTTAATGTACTGGACTGTAAGGTCAGTTTGAACCACAAGGTAGGTGGCTCAAGCTCACCAGTTACTCCTTGGAAACCCTATACAGGGTAGCTATGCGTCGGAACCAACTCAATGGCACTTAACAACAACAACATATCAGAACTGAAAATAAAGAGGGTTCACAGGTTCATACTTACTTCGGGACTCTGTGGATCCCTTTCTTCTTCTTCCACTTTGACCTCAGTTAAGGATCCACCTGCATCCCTGAAATCTGCCACATTCTGCCAATCAAAATTTGCATCATTTCGAAATCCAATCTTTTCATCAATATCTTCAGTGAGAGAGTCCTCTAAATCAGATGTGGGAAGGGGGAAGCCAGAACCAACAAGCTTAATGTTTGCCTTCATTCTCTTTCTCTTCATAAGTGCTCGCCAGTCAAGGTACCTTCTTTTCACTTCCGTCCCTGTCCTCTGTTCCCCTTCTCCTACAGCATTCACGCACTGTGCAATCTCCTCCCAAGCCATTCGCTTCATCACATTAATTGTTGTATTGAGCTGCTTAGAAAAAATAACTTCTTTCCTTTTCGTAATTTCTTTCAAAAGGGTCTGAGTTTCTTGAACACTGAAATTGCTTTTCCTTTTTCTTTTCAACTGCTTCATTTTTTTCTAACTTAAATGCAGTTTCTACAGCAAGAAAAGATGTGAAAAGAATTTGATGAATGCTAAAAAAAAGTACAAACACCAAGGACAATCCCTGGTTGGCACTTTGCTGAGATCAGTGGTTTTTCTCTTCATCTAACAGCACAGACAGGATGGAGAAGTCCTAAAGGAAAAACAAAGCAGTCAGTCAGTCAACCTGTAACTTCTGTAACAAATTTCAACTCAAAAGCAATTTATCAAAATTTAAAAAACAACAGAAAGCCCTCTAAATGTGGTTTATCGCCTTTCCCAATTCTATTGGCATCACCATAGCCTATACTACCCATCTTCTCTCATATGGGCTGCTGTAACTGATTGCCAGTAATCACACTGACACACTCCAACACTCTGTTTTGCTTATAAAGAGCACACAGTCACATCTGCCCCTTTCCTTTCCCACCCAGACTTAACAACTTTTCAGTGGTTTCTCATTTTCCTTAAGATGAAGACAACTCCTCAATTTGGCCCTACAAGGATGTCCCTCCCTACTTCTCCCAGCTTCTTCCCTCACTATCCTTCCCAATCCGCCCTGTTTACTCCAGCCACACCTGTTTGCTTTCTATGACCGGTTTTTATCAAGCTCTTTCCCTGTTCAGGGCCTTTGATTCTTTACCCTTTCCTGGAAGTGGATTGCTCCCTCCTTGGCCTACTTCATCCCGCCGCCTCCTTCAGTTTGCAGCTTAAGCATCTCTTCCTCAGTGAAGCCTTTCCAGAAGAGTCAAAGCACTCTACTTACTGGTAGGGATGTACTAATTTTCCTAGTGTAATCTCTCATATTTACTAATAAATAGTTAAGAATCTGTCTCTTCCTAATTCAATACAAGTTTCATGAAGGCAAGAAAGTTTCTGACCACTATCATTACCCCAAGCCTAACAAAGTGTCTGGCACATAGCAGGCACACCAAAGACATTTGCTGAATGAAATGAATGAATTGCTGAACAAAATGAATTAATCAATTTGTTAATATGTCTATTTATTTGAAATATCAGTAATTTAAAAAAAATAATTAAATTCTGGATTCCGTAAAACAATTTTATAGGAACACTAAAAAGAAGGCTGGAAAATCTAGGAAATTCACCAAAAAATTTGAGACAATGTAATCTGATCAAAGAAATACCTGCCTAAGTTAAACCATGTCAACATTTTATGGAATGAAACTTTTTAAACTAGTGAAATACTGTAAAGATACAACAAATTTAAAAGGTGGCATAAAAGTGGTTAAATTTTTACCCCAGTCACACTACTATGTAATTGGTTAAAGAAAAACACAACCAATTAAAAGAACAAAAAATTTTAGAGACTTTCACACCTTTCGGAAATTCATGAGAAACACATACATTATCAATTAGAAATACACCAAAAATTACAAGTTTCATGGATTGCCTTAGTAATTCTGTTTCAGTGTTCACCATAACCTGACCTCTCACAAGACAAAAGTCCCAAACACCAAACAAAACAAGATTAGATGGTGCATTTGCTTTTAATAAATGCTATAAACTGTCCATCTTTGAAGAATTTCTCAGCAGTAGTTTGGTAATGTTCTTGGCCATTTCAATTGTGTGTTTTAAGATCCTGATGTAGGCAAGTAATTGTTTGTGGGTCTCCCTGAAATGCATGTAAAAACAGGTGGCGAAATGGTAATATAAATTTCTGAGTAGGAAAGATCCTCTTACATGCATTTCTTTTAAATGCACGATAATGTTTCTCCAATTTTCAGAAGACTGTCATGTTGTCAGAGCATGAAAACAGTTGTACCTGAAACTTGTTTGAAGGCACACTTTCTAGGCCCATCCCAGACCAACTGAATCAAGAACTCTGGTGGTGGGGCCCGGAAATCTGTGCTTCAACAAACACTCCACATGATTCTAAAGTTTGACAACCACTGCACTAGATCCACACCAGTAAAACAGATTCGCACACCTAACTGTCTCACCTTGAATTCAAGTATTATACCAGTGCATTTAATTGGTGGAACCCAAAGCACATCCAAAATTCTCATTACAACTCACCCACTCCCATCGAGTCGATTCCGTCTCATAATAAGCTTACAGGACAAGAGAATGGAACTGCCTATGAGGTTTCTGAGATGCTGATCTTTATGGAAGGACTCCTGGTGTGGATCTGTGTGTTAGTATGCTGTACAGCAGAGTTGGTTTAAACCAGAAGGTCAGTAGTTCAGGCTCATCAGCCGCTCCTTGGAAGCCACAGGGTCGTCATGGGTCAGAATTGACTCGATGGCACTTAACAACAAGAAATCTTTATGGTAGCTGATTGCCACATCTTTTGCATATCTCTTGGTTAGCAGCTGAGTTCTAACCACCATGACGCTGGGAAAATAAAGATTTTCTGCAGTCTAGCCTTTGTATTATGGAAAGTCACACTAGGGGGTTGGAACAGGTATCCTAGTGAAGAAAACAAAATAATCTACTGAAATGTCCTGATGCCTCACACAGTACAGCACAGAGTGTTTAAAAACGTTAGGTCAACTAAATAGAAAAACGGAGAAGAGGTGAAAGTAGAAGTAATGGAAAATAAGGGATTAGGAAGAATACAGAACATACGAGGAGACTTCAGAAAGTTCATGGAAAATGGAATTAAAAAAAAAAAAAAGGTATTTTTCCAAGAACTTTTTGAAGCCCCCTTATACATACATAAATCATGTTTTCTGACTCTAAATTAACTCAATGATCACTGTGATAGAGTTGATTTTTCCTCCCCTAAAAAACAGAGGGTGGGATGAGATTACTAAATCACATTCTAGTTCTACTGTTGTATGACTACAAACGTTCTGTCAATACAAAGAAAAGCTACCAAATATCCATTAACTTCTAGTTCCTGTCATTTAACCCCCCAACCACAGCATCATCTAAGGAGCTCTGATAGCAGTGGTTAGGAGTTGGGCTGCTAATCTCACGGTCAGCAGTTCATAACTACTAGCCATTCCACAGGAGACATGAGGCTTTCTGCTCCCACAGAGATTTACAACCTCGGAACCACTATACAGGGTCGCTATGAGTCGGCATCAACTCCCGGCATATCACCACCACCACACTGTATGGAAGGCATCAGCATTTCTACTTACAAAATAAGATTTGGATTTGAAGAGACCAGTTTGTACAACAATATCCAGCAAGTTAAATCCAGGCTCTTACTCCATGTGCTCCTTCTACTTTATTAAATTTGTAATCATTAAATCTTAGAAATGTGTTGATAAGTTAAGTTTTAGGAAAATATTTTCAAAAGGGACAATCTTATCTATGTGCAAGTAGTTCTGTATACAGAAAAAAATACTTAAAGCTTCAACTGGTTCTGTTTCATTTTACCGTGGTTTCTTCGCAAATACCTGAGGGGCTTCAAAAATGTCATTATCTTTCAAGTCCATTTTTCCACAAACTTTTTGAAGCCTTTCTTATTAACATATAGCAATTTAAATTTTTATCAGTATGAAAACATATTCCACTGGTGGTTCACTCTATAAACAGCATCTCCTATTGAAGTGAAAAAAAAAAAAAAGTAGCAATTAAACAAGACTAAATTTAATCAGAAAATGCACAAGTGTCTTTTCTAGCATGGTTTAAACCTTTTCGTTTGAGGACAAAAAAATGGATGGTAATTCCCAATTTTTAAATTTTAATAACAAAGCATCTTTTATTCTCTGAAGGCGTCCTAACTTAGAATTTTTTCAAGTTCTCAGTATTCTTTGTTCTACTGACTTGGTATGTATCTAATAACAACATAAAATATATATATATGCTCGTTACCAAATCCTCTTGTTTCTACTCACTCATGTGGAATAACCATCTCCTGAACTGTCAAATGCTGCTGAAATGGAGGTCAGAGACAATGAAAAATTCAAGAGAGCAGGAGAAAGGGAACTCTGAAGAAATCACTCTCAATTTCACACACACACACAGAGAGAAATGTGCAAAATATTAAAGAGACTGCAAGGAAATTATTTCTAAGGCAGACCTTCAAAATTCTCAGGAGACATGTTAACAATAAAATTAAAATCTACTAAATTATAGAGTATGTAGTCAGCTGTAGCACTTTTGGTCTTGTCCTTGGGTATATATATGCTATTCTTTTGTTATTAGGATATAAGCAAAGGTATTTATAAATTAAGCTTTCATCAAGAGGCAGGTTATTATAGTGCTACTAGAAAGATTCTGAATTCAGACTGCCTGGGTTCAAATCTTATCTCTGCCACTTCCTGGCTATTTGAACTTAGGGAAATTAGCTAAATTTCTGAACTTGGTACACTTTACACTTTCATTTGTAGAATGAAGATGATAATGCTACATCATAAAGATGCTGTAAGGATTGTTGTTAAATGCCATCAAGGAGACCTTGTATAGACTTTCTGAGGCCATAAATCTTCACAGAAGTAGAAAGCCAAGCCTCATCTGTTTCCTGTGGAGCAGCTGGTGGATTAGAACTGCCAACTTTGTGGTTAGCAGTCCAGTGTTTATTCTACAATGCCACCACACTTCCAGCTGTAAGGTTTATGAATCCATTAGTTACATGCATAGAGTCTCTGGTTGGTGCATATGATTAAGTGCTTGGCTACTGACCAAAAGGTTGGTAGTTCAAATCCACTCAAAGGTACCTTGGAAGAACAAAGCCCGGGTAATCTACTTATGAGAGATTACAATGGAAAACTCTTTGAGTGCAGTTCTGTCTTGAAGTCCAAGGGTCAATATAAGTCAGAATTGACTTGACAGCAACAGATTTGGTATCTTTTGTGAAGACGTTGTTGCTAAGTGCCATTGAGTGGGTTCCAACTCATAGCAACCTGGTGTAGGGTTTCCATGGAGCGACTGATTGAGTTTGAACCTCCAACTTTGTGGTTCAAACCCACCCTGCAGTCCAGTGCTTTATCCCACAGTGTCAGAGTAGTCAAAATGGCTATTTATGGGGGAAGGAGGAAGCACAGTGTAAGGGATTAGGAAGCTAGACTCCTACAAATGTACCTTGCATTATTTGACTTTGGAATCATATAAAATGTTTTACAACATTTAAAAAAGTCAATCTAAAAAAAAAAAAGTATCCCCCAGCATTAATAGCAAAGCTCAAAAAAGCAGATAACAACAAATGCTGGTGAGGGTGTGCAGTGACTGAGACCCTCCTACCTTGTT